ACAAATGAAATGAAGCAATTAATAATATATATATATATATATATATATATATATGTATTTATAAATATAATATCTATATGTATGTGTACGTGTGTGTGTATATATACTTTATTTACGTATATATCTTATATATATTAAACATACGTATAAAATATACAATATATTTAATATATATAAAATATAAAAAATATATATAAATATATATAAAATATAAAAATATATATATAAATATATATATATATAATATAAAAATAATATATTAAACATACGTATAAAATAATGTACAATATATTTTTATTGCATATGTATGCACATGGAAAGAACTATGATTCATCCATCATATTCATGCCATCATTGATTAATCTGTAGTCTATGCTTTTGTACATAAAGTTCGCTTTTACTAGAATGAACAACGATGTGGGTCACCTGATTGTTGCGCGACCACGCGTTGTGCACGCAAATCGTTTATCTTCTACGTAGCAAATGAAGCGAAGCTACTATTCCCCACGATGATGTTGCATTCTAAATGAAAAAAAAAAAAAAAAAAAAAATGCATTCAGTCATCGGCGCGTCGATGTTGTTTCATTACGAATAGAAATACGAATCGTCGAAAGTTGTTGAACAACGACGACTCGAGCTTTGATAAATTTTTATTTTCTGTAGTCTGTCATTTTTCTCGCCGATATTGGTATTTTAAATGGAATATATGTAGCTGATTTCGACGATTTTCAACTAAGTGTGTACTGATAACATTGTCATTAATATGGGATCTCATAAAACACTTATCAGCGGAACAAGTGTTGAAGTCAATATTTCTATACACGTGACAGTTGTACGAATTATTAATTAACGGCGAAGAAGAAAATCTGGAGGTAGCTTCGAGGAGATTCCCGTAATTTCGTTGTCTCACCAAAGACACTATACATTAAAATACATTAAAATAAAAAAAAAAAGAAGACACCAATCACTTCCAATCTTCCTTGATCATGTCAGCTGCTTTTTCCCCGATCATAAAAATCCCGGCGTTCACGTGTCCCCTGGGCATGGTGGGCATCACCGAGGCATCAACCACCCTCAATCCTCTGACACCGTGCACCCTCAACCTGGGATCGACGACAGCGTCAGGATCGCTCTCGGGTCCCATTTTGCACGTGCCGATCTCGTGGTTCATCATCGAGGGCAGGTGTTTGATAGCACACCTCCAATAATCATCGGTGGCGAACTCGAAGCTCGCACAGCCCGGGAACTTGACGTCGTGCAGCTTGCTGCCGTACCTCTGGAACGATTTGGTTCTCGATATGTTAACAGCCAGTTTCAATCCTTCCAAGACCAGTTCCAAGTCGTACGGATGCGAGTAGAAATTAGGGTCCATTCGAGGTGGCGCGAACGGGTCGCTGGATCTCAGCGTGAGCCTGCCGACGCTCCTCGGGTACTGAACGATAGGCCAGACCGTCCACACGTCCTTCTCCTCTATCGGTTTGTACACGGTGTCGTACAGCTGGTCGGTTATCCTCAGGGCTTTCTTCAGTGGTAGGCCGCCGTCGGAGCTGAGTCCTCCAGACGCGAACAACAGCTCGACGTCGGCTCTGCTGTCGGTCGCGTACTTGGTCCTGAGGAAGGCCACCGCTTCAGCACCACCCGGGATCGACATCATGCCGCTTCTGCTCAGCAGATACTGCAGAGCCACGCTGGGACGTGTCACTCTGCTTTGCAGCAACGACACCGTCTCGTTCGCCACGAACGTCAGACCTAGGAAACCTATGTGCTCGTACATGTTATAGCCGACCTTCAAGTTTTGGATCACATTGACGCCTAACTGTCGCAGATGTTCCTCGGGACCTATGCCCGACAGCATCAACAGTTTCGCAGAGTCGATGGTGCCCGCCGAGAGGATCACCTCCTTGGTGCAGTACACTCTGTTTCGTTGGCCGTGTTTCACGTACTCGACGCCGTACGCCTGCCGCGTCTTCTCGTTGACGAGCAACCTAACGACCCTGGCGTTCGTCACTACGTTCAGGTTTTGTCGATCGATACGCAGATAGGCCTTGGACGCGCTGCACCTGGTCCCTCTGTCCATGTTCAGCTGCAGGTAGGAGAAGCCGACCTCTTCGTTGCCGTTGTAGTCGATGATGTCGTAGCCGAGCTCTCTTCCGGCTTTCAGCCAGGCTCTGGCCAGCTCCGTGTGGTAGGGCACGTGCTCCACGCACAAGTTGCCTTTGTAGCCGTGATACGACGTGTTGTGCGAGCCTGCGTGCATACGAATCGGGACTGTTATTAATTAGGATATCAAACAACAGGGGAACACACGATGATGAATAAATAACCTGGAATATTGAACTTCTCGCTCTTCTTGAAATAATGAAGAACGTCGTCGTAAGACCAGCCCTCGTTGCCCAGCGCGGCCCAGTTATCGTAATCGGCCTTCACTCCTCTCGTGTGGATCATGTAATTAATGGTGCTGGTACCACCGAGAGTTTTCCCCCGCGGCCACGAGCACCGCCGATCGATCATACCGAGGCACGCGTTCTCCTGAGGCTCCACCTTGTAGCCCCAGTTGAACCGCGAGAGCAGTTGAAAGTAGCCGCATAGAATGGGGATCTGCTGCAACGAGGTCTCGGTGCCTCCAGCCTCCAGAAGCAGCACCTTCCATCGTTCGTTCTCGGACAGGCGATTGGCCAACACCGATCCGGCCGATCCCGCGCCTACTATGATAAAGTCGTACTTTTGCCCCTTGGGGTCCACCCTGTTCAGAGATTCTTCCGCAGGGCCGTAGTTGATTATACCGTCCAGGTCTAGCAACGATTGATACTCTCGGAAGAATGTTGTCAGCAGCAGCAGGAATAGTTGGAGCTGCTTGACGAGGGTGGTCATAATCTAGCTAGGGATGAAGATCTCTGGCTCGCGGAATTCTCTGATTCGTCCTCGCTGGTGTTCCGCCTTTTGAAATTGAAATTTTATCCAGTTTTGTGATTTTTCTTGCGCAAGCTTCTACATTTATATATTTTATACTTATGTTCGTACTTTGTATTTGTAGTTTATATACTACGTATTTTATATTTTAACCAATATCCAGAACTTATTTCAATTCTTTTGCTGGCTATTATTATATTTTTCAGGATATTCTGATATCCTCAACACGTTAAAGTATAACTTTCAATTAGAATTATTATGCCATACAAGACAGTAAATTATGACAGTGATTATAAATTGCAAATGCAACAATCATTATTTCGCAAATTACAAATATTCTACGATATCTCGAATTTCGATTTTTAAAATAAATTGAACTTCTTAATTTTTCTTCAATTTCGACCTCAATGTCCCAGAATCCACGACATGTTGAAGTATAATTTTCAATTATAATTATAATAATTATTACATCATGCAAGACATTATTTCGCAAATTGCAGATATTCCACGAATATCTCTCGAATTTACGTGTATTTCTCAGGTATTCGATCCAAGCGCGGAAAATTTCGATTTTTAAAATAAATTGAACTTCTTAATTTTTCTTCAATTTCGACCTCAATGTCCCAGAATCCACGACATGTTGAAGTATAATTTTCAATTATAATTATAATAATTATTACATCATGCAAGACATTATTTCGCAAATTGCAGATATTCCACGAATATCTCTCGAATTTACGTGTATTTCTCAGGTATTCGATCTAAGCGCGGAAAATTTCGATTTAAATAGAGAAATGTATTGCAGTGTTTTATATATCGCCGTGGCGCGAAAAAATTACAATTGCAATTGCTTCGTAACAAGTGCTCGTCAAACACAGTTAATTAAGTTTGAACGAGAGGCTTCTAATTAGAAGCAGTTACGTCGACACCGTTAACAACAAAAGAACCGACTGAACGAGATAAGATAAAAACGTACAGCCATTAACATACCTGTTTTCTCACCTGACATTCGAGTTTTAATAAACTTAATAAATCGTTGGATCGATGATACTTAATAGTTTAATAAATGAAAAAGAAAAAAATCGCACGGCAAGATTTATCGTATTTATCGATTTTTTTTCTATAAATCGAGAAGGAAAAGTGTCTTCGGTTTTGCCAGATGATCTGTCACACGGCGTAAGAACATCTTACAATTGGAATGAAACAAACACTTCGGGAGGCTTCGAGCTTTCAATTGAATGCGAATCTTATTATTTCGTCACGGAAATTACGTTCAATGTCCGAGCATGGTGTACGACGAGGTAAAAGAATGTTGCGTCACCGTAAAAGTTCAACTTTCTCCTTTTTTCCACGTCGCGAAAAACAGGAGGAACAATAGCAAACGAATCACTCGCCGACTGTGATATTAACGAGCTCTCCTCTCCTCCTCAAACGTCAGCGAGTCTCTCACTTATGCTCCGACACATGAATCATCCACCGATCAACACTCTTCCTGTTTGAAACTGTTTGTCTGCCCACCGTGTGTGAGTTATTGCAACAAATTACGCGCAACCGGTTCTTGTCGTAATTACGATCTCGTAATACCAGGCGTAATTTCGTAGCGTCGGCTCAGAAACAAACGAACAACACGTCGGCGTGTCGAACTCGAGGAACTGATGATAACCAGCGTGGAACTGCAGAGTTGGTTGAAATGTTACTCCGTGTCGTTTTATCCACTTTCCACTCGCGGAGATCCACCCGGAGTCTCAAAATACTTTCAATTACTTTCACGTGGCTCGTTCGCGTAATCGCGTTGCCTCACGAAAATACTCGCACGCTTCGGTGGAATTTTTTTTTTTTTTTTTAAATATTATAATAACACGTTAGGTGAATGTAGGTCTCGCGCGACACTGACACTGCCAGAGGCGAAGAAATTTAAAGTCGAAATACTCGAGGCTCTAAAAATTTCACATTCGAGGCTGTTTGATATGAAAGATTCTTTTCTAAAATAGCGACTTAAAGCTCGCAGTTCAAAACCTCACGGTTCGTTCGATTTGAAATTGTGATTTGCTCGACTCGAAATTGCAATTTGACTTGCAAATTTAAAAAAAACCTCGATCTACCAATGGAATTTTTGTTGATTTTAATTGATAATCCGATCACGTCAGAATTTAATTTATAATTGAAAGTCTACGATTCAGAACTGATATTTAATTTATGACTTAAAATTGCAATTCAACGATATGATTCAAGATTTACAATTTAATTTATAATTTGATATTGTAGCCTAATTTGTAATTTAAGATTTAGAACTAGAGTGTAATTTAATATTCAAAGTTGCACTTGATTCAATACTTACAATTTGGAGCTACAATTTAATCTATAATTTGACATTGCAGTCTAATTTATATAGGGTGGCCACTGAAAAACTGTAGGGTTTGCAGAAGTCATTACTTGCTCGTTTTCAATCTTTTTTATCCTCTTTTTCTGTAGGTTATAAAATTATAAAATCCATTAATTATATTTCCAAATAAAATAATAAAAAGTTAAAAAGATATGTGTAAAAGTTATTTTTGTTTAATATCATTCAGTCTTTTAGGGCAACCCTGTAATTAAAAATTTACAATCTAATACTAGAATCTATTTCAATAATCAAAATTTCAATTGACTGCATGATTCAGTATTTGCAATTTAGAGCTACAGTTTAATTTATAATTCAGAATTTACAGTTTAATTCATAATTACAAAACTTACAATTTAGAGGTAGAATCTAGAAAATTTTATAGTTTATAATTTACAATTTGAAATTGCAGTCTTATAATTGAAAATTTGCAATTTAAATCTAGAATCTGATTCAGAATTACAATTCAAGGTGCGATCCAAGTTTTACAGTTTGGTGTGCTGCAACTTGTAATTTGAATTTACAATTTGTAAATTTAAAACTTGACACTGCAGTCTGACTTGTAATTTAAGATTCATAATCACTTTATAACTACAATTGAAAATCACGATTTTTGGTGTAAAATCTCTGAAAATAATGCGAATAATTGTAATTGTTATTGGAACATTAATAAAATTAGGGCTTAAGAAAAAAAAAAAAAAAGAGAGGAGTGTTGCGCGAGACATTTTGATCTTAATTAGTAATGCAAATGGGAAAGTGAAATCTTCGGAATGAGAAAGAAATTGATCCATGGTATAATCTCTCCATTTCAATAGGTTGTTGTATA